ACACTCGCTCGCACACATATGCGGCGAGTCCTTTTCTGCAAGTTGGCCGCAAGATCGAAGTCAGACTCTGGGTTTTTCTGTGGGATATTTTGCTTACGCTGCCGAAAATTTATCACGCTAACCTTTGGGAAATGCTCATATAATTTATCTTCAAGAAAGTAAATTTTCCCCCCCAAAAAGCGAAGACGTACGGCGGTGTTCAAGGAGGCGACTGGAAAAGTTTTCCAACTGTGGCTGCTTTTCTCACAAATATACTCAGGGGTCCACAGGGTGTGTGTGCCTGTGAGTTACAAAAGGTAAAAAATTGCTCCGAGTTTAAAAACAAGACTGCTGCGCCTGTGTTTGTGGACGAACCTTTCCGACTCGCACCTTTCCCCCCTGAACATTGAGTCGGTAAAAAATTAGGTTAATTTTGGGTGTGCTATGGATTGATGGGCTCCATCCAAAAGCACTTGGCAAATAATTAATAAACAACGGCAGCTTAGGGCTAACCTTGGTCAGAAAGGCTTCACCAAAAGGTGAAAATATATGCGAATTTATAAACTGTATTTCAAATTTCATATTTCACCAAGCAAGGCTTTCACCAGAATGAATTCTTCACCTATAAATTGTTCTTTCTAATACTTTTTGTATTTGCATAATAAAAAATAGGTTTTTGTTTTTCTTTAAACTTACGTTTTTCATTCCCTGGGTTCTCGTTTAATTTACTTTCATTGCAAACTTATGCGCTTCTTTCAGTTTTTCAGTACTGCTATTTTTTCCGAACATTTCTTCATTGCTCACCACATTGTCGTCGCTTCATTAAGAAAGTTTTTCTTTACAGTTTTCCTAACATAAATGCTGAAAACTTAATTTCTTCTAAGTGAACTTGTTAAGTTTTACTCGCCATTTTCCTCCCCTTTTCGTTCGCGTCTCCTCTTTTTTTTTTTTGTTCCTAACTGCAGTCTGTTGGAAACTCCAAGGTTTGGCTCGCCCATGGTCCCTGACACTTTACTGCCCACATCTGGTGTTTTTCTGTGGCGCAGGCAGCTTTAAGCGCATTAAAACGTGTAGCCTTTGAGGGTTAAGAGTCTGGAAATATTTAATTTGTCTTTACATTTAAATAGATATTGTCTACTTAAAAGATAGTAGCTTCGTGGCTTCAATAATTCACAAAGATCTTGACCAGAGAAATCAGCAGACTTTTCACTTTTCATTAGGTTCATTTTCCAGCCAATCAACCCCATCGGTACCTGCAATAAATGTCAAATCAAGAATTTTATAACACTCCTTGTTCCACACTCCAGAGGAACAAATGCATATCAATGTCATTGCCAATGTTCATTTTAGTAAGTCAACAAAAATATCCATGTTTCAGCAAAGTGCCACAATTAAGTGGTTAAACATGACTGAAGTTTAATGAAACACTTTTGCTGACTTCAACGACAGACATTGAAAAGTGCATCAAATTTCAATTAAATCAGACACACATCAGCACTTCATAAACCTGAATTGAGTTTTGGGTGGGTCAAAAGCGAGCAGGCCGAAACCCGATCCGGCCAGACACTGCCATCGCAGACGGTGGAGCCAGGTTAGCAGTCGATGAGCATTCAGTCAAGTTAAATGAACCGCATCTATTGACTATCTGCCTCGCTCAGTGCCGCACAGTGACCTAAAGTCAATGTATTTTGGGAGATTAAATTAACAATATATATTATATTTCACTCTAGGATTTCCTTAATATAAAAGTTTACAATTTTATATGGAAAGAAAGCATTCAGTTTAAGTGAATTTTAAATAGACATAGATTTATTCCAAAATCTATAACTATTTTCTTATTTTTATATATTGAAAAGAGAGTCTCTTCACGGACCTATATTTAAACTCAGCTCAACCCACTGTGTGTGGTCGATTGCCGAGAATCAAACGACGGCGATGGCAAATTTTGCTTTTGAAGGCAACATAAATTTTTCAAACGATTGACTCAGCAAAATGACCATGAATGTGTGACATCAGCAGCGGATGGGGGCTAGCCCCCGCTTCCCTTTCCCCTTTTCCCATTCCTACCCCCCCTCCACCACCATCATCATCATTATCGTCCTGCGACAGCACAAACGGCCAGAGCGAGACAGAGGACGCAGGGCAGAGGGCATCCTGTTCCATGGGAGACAGCAAATATCCAGAGGTAAACACGTGCATTGCCAGCTTCCGTTATCAGTCAGCTTGTTTGCCAGACAGCCGGGCCATTTCCAACGGACACGCCCACCTGGCTGACATACCCCATGCCACGCCCCCCAGAGACACACACAGTCTACCCCCCCGCCCCCGCGCCCATTCGACCATATTTATCTGCTTATTGACGCTTTGAAGTCTGTGGAAGTTGTACAATTTTCTCGCCCCTAACAGAGTAGCCGTCTTGACTCCTCTGTTTGCCCGTGTGTTGAAAATTAACTTTGAAAGATTTCCGCTGCCATGAAATTGCTTGACATTGCATTTGCGGTTCAATGAGTTCGATTTCTAGCTTCCATCAAGGGAGTGCTGTGAACGGAGGTCCGAATATGTTAAACGGTGTCTGTTCAAAGCACACGGTGCGTATGATTGATTTAATTTGATAGTAATGTCAGCTTCGACATTGTAGAATATAAATCCCTGAAATACACATTTAAATTATACAAAAAGTATTTATTTTCATTTTAAATAAACTTGAAATAAGCAGAAAATTTGATTTTTATTTTGTCATCCCAATTAAATATCAAAATAAAATTTAAATGATTTTTGGTTAGCCCAAGGATGCGCCTGGTGGCGAAAATGTGGTGGCATATAATAAAACGTGCACTAAATATTTATGAATTTTTATTTTACGACACCTTTGGAGCATACAAGCTGCAACAATACACCGACCCCAAACAAAAAAACAACGACGAAAAAAAAAACGGAAGCAGAAAACTGGACAACAGGGACTCCCTTCTATAATTTAAGCTAAGGAAGACACACAAAAAATAAAAGAAAAAAATTAACATAAACCGTGAAATGTTGTCTGGCGGCAGCAAAAAAAAAAAAAAAAGGAGAACCAAACAAAAGCAAAATCACGTTTTGTAATTACACAGAAGAGAATAAACAGGCGGGGAATGGGAGATGCCATCCTTGAGAATCTGTTCTGAAAAACAGGAGCCACTACTGGCCACCACCGGACCTTGTTTATTTGGGCGAGCAAAACAAAACAGAGCACAGAACTGAAATGAAAATGAAACAAAATAATTAAAAATCGTGTGCTGAGGTTGATTTCCCAACATGGCGAGCCCAGTGCACTGAACCGGGCCGGTATTGTCGCCAGTCCGAAATTGCTTATGAATTGTAAACAGGAAGACCTGCCCCGCTCATGGCAATCGCAGGTGGTGGCCATCTTGCCTGTTTGGGCTGCGTGTGAATTATAGCATACTTGCGGGCGCGTGTTGAAAATTATAGTCCTTTAATTGTGACAATAAAAGGTGGGGATGAAATAAGAATCCCCCAGAAAGAAAAACTAAGCTTAGACTACTAAGTTCAAAACGTAATGAAGACCATAGATTCAATACATTAAAAATATACTTTAGCATACTTTAGGAAGCCTTTTTAATTGATTTAAAAACTTTAGGGATTTCTAAGGCTTGTTCTCCCGCATTTAAATATAATTCTTGTTACCATTTGCTAAGTAATATACGGTTGTAAGTTACAAAATGAATCTGCATGCACTTTTCATGCAAAAGGGAAGACAAGAAACCGCCGCAAATAACATAAATGGAGGATTTCAGGCGTAAGCCTCCCGAAAAACAAGTCACGTTTCGAGGCACAAAGCACACCCAGGCACAAATACACACACACACACACACACACACATACACGCAATCGCATACAGATGCAAACACAAAGTTGCAGGCCTGCTCGCATAATTTTATTGCATAATTTCAGCACGCGCACACAGAGCCCCTCCTAAGCGCAACTCATAAATACGCCTAGAAATATGCTGCAATATTTTTGTAGCAGCCGCTAGCACAGACAATTCGCACTACTTTTCTCATTACAAATTGGATTTGGCAGTCACATTTTGCTTATTAGGTTCAAAATCCATGCAAATTTCTTTCTTTGCAGTAGCTTCAGCCCAAATAGGACTGCATATCCTTTGTGCTGGTACGTTTCCAGGGAACACTGAACGAAATGAATCTTGTATCTTTCCACCAAGGAGGTTGATAATTTCTAATGAACGATAACACCTGTAATCATCATATCTTAAGATACATTCAACTTTATATCATTGGGGTTGATTGACTCTTCAAAAGCTTTAAACCTGGCTCAAAAATTCCCTTTCTTAGCGTGGCCGTAAAGCAAGTATTTAAAATCTTTTAAAATCAAGTGGGATAGGCGAAAAGATAAGGCTTAAACCTTTGTTTATATATATTAATTTATAGTTTAGATCCTTTTTAAGCCACTTTTTTGCAGTCTACCTTGTTGTATCGTGGGGAGAGCGGCCTTGGTAGCATCTTATTACTATTGCCCCCCCACAGATAACTGTAGATGCCGGCAAACTTACAAACAAATAAAAACAACAGGCAATACAATAGTATATAGAGAGGCGGCGGGTGCCAAGTTTATTGTGTAAATATAATTCAGTTTTCTTTTCTCTTTGGCCGCTTTTCCAGCCTCCTTCTCTCTCTCTGCCTCTCTGTTGCTGTCTTTCTCTTGTTCTCTGTCTCTCGCTTGCAAATTAACTGTGTGCAACGTGATAATGCCATTTCTGTAAATTTTGCCAGCTTACAAAATGCGCTGGAGAACTTTATTGTCTGCAAAAGTCTAGATTATGTAATCATGCCTCTGCTGGATGGGAAAATAGGTGCAGGCTCAGTGCAGCTTAATACAAAATACTTACTAAACCATTTTGGGGATACTTCTTGAGCAATTTGTAGGTCTACCCAAAAAGGCGATTTTTAAATTAAAGTATATACATTATTTGTAATAATTATATATACAGTAGTAAAGTCAACGTATAGTAGACATTGAAAAACATTTTATTATTAATGTTTCGTTTTAGCTGAAACTAAACTTTGACGGAGACGAATTCCTTTCTAGCTCTTTTAGGCCTGACTATATGGACCAGAAATGTATTTTTTTCCAGTGTACCGTACTCCAAATAACACCTAAAAGAATTTAAAAAATATATTATATATGTGCCAACAAGTGCATCTTATATACTCACCTTTTGCTCATCGCAGCAAGCTTCATTTCTACTTGAGCACCTATAAGCAGTAATTGACCTCAAGTCTCGTGGACAATAGGGCGTTGGAACACATTGATATTTTGTATTATTCGGACAAAGTGGCCTTAGGGAAAGACCGATTCCTAGTAAAGTGAAGATCACAAAAAGAAATGCCCAATTCGGTGCCATCGTACTTTTGAAATTCTGTAGCTCAAATGCTGCTCTTATATAGCTTACCAATGATTCAAGAATCAAGTCGCGAGCCTTATCAGTTGTGAACCCTGGGTCAAGTCTGATTAAGTACGAAAAGTTAAGAGATTAAGCGAGAGTATTAGAGAGTGTTTATTGATGAGTCTCTTTGTGGTTTATATGGTGTTTAAAAATTTGCGAATCGAAAATAGTATAGATCTTAATTCATGATCGTCCTCCGGAAACAAGAACTCGTGAACATTACAGTTTTACATAATCAAGCAGTAATTTTTAGTTTTCGGTATCGGTTCAGTGGTACTTCTGTAAGGATTCTCTACCGGCGGTGTTTCCAGTGCATTGATTGCTATTACTGCTGGTGTCGGCTCCGTAAATCGAAATGGATTTTCCAGGCTCTGATTAGCTGCCGTCACTCCGTTGGGTTCAATTTGTTGATCCGAGTTGAGAATAAGAAGTCCAACCGGACAGTTGTGCATGTTCACCTGGTACAGCTGGTAAGGAAGGGGTGGGGACGGGGAGATCTCGGCGTTGGCCCTGGTCGCCTTGGCCGAAGTAGAGGCTTGCTCCGATATAGCGTCCTCTGGAGAATGTTGACGCTTTTGGGAACGCGATGTACCATCAGGTTCCGGCTTAGGGGTAGGAGAAGCTTTTGCTTCTGCTTTTGGGGATTCCGATTTTACATTTGGGTATTCCGGTTCGGGTTTCGGTGATTTAGTCATCTGTGTCTTGGGAACTTCATTCTTAGGGCCTTCCTTGGGAGACCTGGCAACCTCCACTGAACACTGAAAATACATCAGCGATATCAATTCGCTTCTGCCGGACTCGACAGTTCTATAAAAACTTACCGTGCGGACTGGGCAGCGTCCCTTAATGTGTCGCAAGGATCTTGGCACTCGTTGGGCCAAGGAAGTGTTGGCTACACCTGTAGTATTTGTTGTTGGTGTCACTACTGCCGGTGGTGAAGTCGAAGGCGATTGCTCTTTGGGGGTTGCATTCTTCGACGATTCAGATTTTGTTTTTAGGGCTTCTGCTTTTGGTGATTCCGGTTCAGCTTTCGGTGATTTAGTCATCTGTGTCTTGAGAACTTGTTTCTTAGGACGTCCTCTGGGAGACCTGGCACCCTCCAAAGAACTCTGAAAAATCAGAGGTAACAATTGGTTTCCGCCCGTTTCTGCAGTTCTACCTAAACTCACTGTGCGGACTGGGCAGCGACCCTTAATGTGTTGCAAGGATCTTGGCACTCTTTGGGGCAAGGAAGTGTTGGCTACACTTGCTGTATTTAGTGTCGGTGTCAATGCTGTCGGTGGTGAAGTCGATGGCGATTGCTCTTTATTATTCCCGATCGCCGGCGATGATGATGGAGATATCTTGATATTCTGCTTAGTGATCATGCGGGTGGTCATGCGGCCCGGTGTTGAGGTAGCCATTGGGTGAGCATCGCCGGTAGAAGACGCTTCGATGATTGGATGAGCTGCATCGCCGCTAGCCGTCTCATCATTATAATTCGATTCCGGCTTCATAATCGAAAAAGAAATAATATTCACCAGATTTCTGGCTTCCAATGTTTCCCAGTTGAAAGTGAAAATGTATTCATTAATTTTCCTTTCCAAGCCTTAACTCAAATGTCAGAGCATACTTGTTTTAGAATAAAGCTTAACCTCTTAGTTCCATGTTCAGCAATTTCTAACTCATCATTATTTAATTCATTGTTATGTTTAATACATTGTTATTGATATTACTGTAAAAAAATGTAATATTAGTTAAACAAGTCTAAGTAACAGTATTGTATTTTATTTAAAGACCGCTTTGGGTTCGAAAAACGGAAGATATTAATTAAATTTAATGTCTGTCTGGAGGAGCAACGACGGCTACTGCCACGCAAAAGAGCGCCGAGTAACGAGAACCCATGGAAATAACCGCTGCGAAAACTTTGCCAGCTGTATTGCATTACGCCTTTAATTTCATTACAACCCCGGGGAAGCCCCACCCGTTCTCTGCGTTGCCCCATAAAACCAAGCGAAACACTTGTAAAGTCTGCCGGGTAGCCACAGGGAGGCAGATACAGTCTCATGTTCCGTGGCGCCACCTCCCACATTGCAGCAGCTCAGCATGGATCCGGGAAGCCAGCAGGAGCAGGATCGAGAGCCGCTCGACGGACCGGAGTTTATTATTTAATACTTTGAACGTCATGAGTTGAAATTAGCGGCCATAAATCAATGAAACGACCCGCACAAGTCCACAATTAGCCAAGGCGAGCGCGACAAACGCTCCTTGTTACATGAACTAGCTTAAGGAGCTAATTAATTCTTATGTTCTCCCGCTAAGACACAGTTTAGTGTTGCAAATAATATTTCGGAGGATGAGTGCGAAATAAGAAATGCTGTCTTAAAGTTGCAAAACTGCCAGGTTTTAATGTATATGCATAATTTCTACCCACTTAGAAGCTAGGAAAGTTAAATCGTTAAAGTTTTGCAGTATGGTTAAAACTTTTTTAAAGAGATTTTTGGTCTAAGGTCATGCTAACATGTTTTATAAACAATTTTAAAGATCATAAATAATTAATATGGAAATATTTTGTAGTATTTTTTATAAACTAAGTTTGCTTAGGCAAACAATTGTTTTTGATGATGATTTGCTGTCAGCAAAGACTAATTATAAGTGTCTCCAAATCGGGTTACGAATACGAAACGAATGAAAATTTCAATTTTGCATTTGATAGAACTTTCGGCGCAATTGCTTAACTAATTCCCATGGCCTTTTCAACGAGAATGAGTTAGGCAAACAGAACGCGGGCAACTTTGCTCGCAACATTCTACATTCGGTGGAATAGACAAGGCAAACAGCAGAGCCCGGGAAAACTTCGCAGGACAAGACGCAGCGCAAGGACACGGCTGGCGCTCCAAGGCTGGGGTTCCCGGGATGTGTGTTTACAGGGGGTGTCCGGAGAGGGGACTACAACCGGCAGCATGTTGGAGCGTTCTGCGTGACGGTTACAGCATGGCAAACAAGAGGGGGCACTAGTCGTAGTCGCACTGGTAAAGTTCCACAACTAATCCTGACTGATGTTGCGACAATATATACAAGCCGGCATCTGGATACACACTTTTCTACAGTATACGAATATCTGTATATGTACATACATATATACCTATATAGATGCGAGTATGTATGGAGTGGCACAACACATGCTTCAGATGCTTCGCAGCTACGCCCTGCCGCCTTCCTTCTGGCTTGCAATTTGTGTCGAAGATTAATGCGTTAGCGCAAAAGTTGCATTTCAAATGGATTTATATAAAAAATAAGGACATAATAACACTGGCAGGAGCAGCACTTTCGCTGAGGGTTCAAGGCGAATGCCTCGTACGTGAGACTCGCAATTCCTAATCAGCGAAAGACTGAAGGAGGAGATTTACAAACAAATTGCATTTAAAAATTGAAATTACAACAAAAAACTCAACTGATTTTGTGGCATTTTTGCAACTAAAAATTACAGCTTAAGGTTAAAACTTTAATTCATTTAGCCTACAGTTGTCCACTTGTCCACATTATCTATTTTGTGTTTGACATCTCATGTTTGTTTTTTGTTTTCATTTCGCATTTATTTGACCTGCTAATTACCTTATATTGTTTCATTAATAAAACTAATTTTTATTATTTACGTACGCCAATCGGACAGCCACTTAAAATGAGTATTTTAATTTTGGCGAGAAATATTACACGCGGAAACTGAAATTTATTTAACGCTGACAGCCACAAAAATTATACCAATTGGCCGTATTAATTAGGCGTAAAACGAACCGTTTGACCTGGGGCCATTAAGCAAATTAGTTAGTTAACCTTAATTCCAAGTAAACAATGAATATAATGTGTCTGGCTGATTGATAATTTCCAATTTAATTGGGTTTACTGATGTGGGAGGAAGGGCCGTACGTCTATAAATATAAAACAAGAGTCCGGGAAACTTTGCGAAAATGATTGAATGTGTTTTCAAAGTCACAGCTGTGGCTACAAGTTCACCGCACTTTCCACATCCTTTTCCCAATATGCAAGTGTGTTGTGAGTGTGGGCGAAAAAGTTCGAGTTCGAGTTTTGAGTAATTCAACGACACAGTGAACACATTTTCCGCCAACGAAAAATTACAAACTTTGTACTGGGGACCTTAAGGTGGGTGTAACTTCCGCCTCAACACAACATAGTTGTCGTCTCCGCTTCTTTGCTTCTATTTTATTTGGCACTCGAAGAAAATATATTAAATAGAAATAAACAAAAGAAGGAGAGTTGAAATATATCCTTAGTGAAATTCGTTCTGAAAATCTTTACTTTGTTTTGTTTATAAATATTTGTAAATAGTTTTAATTATCAATATATATGCATTTTACTGTCAATTTCCCTCAGTGAACCTTTCTCTTTCACTCGAGTGTGCTCTCTAGTAGCTGGGGCTTAATTAAGTGCATAAACTTCTAAGCGAAAATACACGCGTGGCGTCCCTTTCTATCTGTGTTGCTACACCTTTCCGCCCACGCACTCCCACACATACATACATCCTTTCGTTCACAGTTGTATGCTTGGGTCCTTTCACTCCTTTTTGTCCCGTCATCAGTTGCTGCTCCTGTCGCCGGCTCCTTTGGGGGTAAGTTTTTGGGGCCGACGTATAAATTTGAAACGCTTTACATTGTTTACGTAGTTTGCCATAGTTACAGTCGCAGTCCCTGTGTGTGCGTGCAGGACGAGACGAGGTCCTTTGCTAAAGTGTTGCAATTATATTGATTGAATTTTGTGGCAACATCACCACACCGTCGGCAGCATTAGGCATATGCCACCCAAGGGAGGCCTTTCGGGGGCGTGGTAAGCCCTTCATATCAGTGGCAATAACCCATTCACACCTTTTGGCATCTTGGGCTTAATTCTCATCTCAGCGTGGCTCTTCGTCATAATGCACAGGGGAATTTCAGACAATAGACTTCATATTCGACAGCAGGATATCAGATTAATTAAGGAGTGTTAAGGGGCTTAAGTTAATAACCAATTTATTGACTTTGAGCCAACGTTTTGTTAGCATCAAGAAAGCTGAAGACTGTCTTCATAATAATTTTGGTACTACTAATTTATATTAAGTGTAAAATTGCAAATTCCCTGCGGAAATTATACAAATTATTCCCACTTTATGCTTTATTCCATAAAACGAGTCTTCAATTAATGCGAATTTTTAAATTGAATTATTTATGACCACGTTTAGCTCGCCTTTGATTGCATTCATAAGCCTCGTTTGCATCATAAATGTTTTTATTAGCCATATCCTGTCAGCATTTATGACATTCCATGACGCGGTGTCAAAAATCAACCAATAATTGGAATATATGCGGGGCTCTGAGATATTTTTACTGATATTCTAATTAAAATTTGTTAGCATGTAAGCTTGCTGTCACGATATTGCCAGCAGCAGTCAGTGGCTAAAACTGGATGCCAACAAGAATAATAAAATATATATACCAAAAGTCCTATAGTAATTTACATACGCGCAGACTCTCGAACCCACTTTAAATTTAATAAACAAATAAATTAACAGAATTTGCAACAAATCAGCGGAATATTTGGTTAATTTCCAAATATGTCCACCATATGCAAACTGCCAAAAGTCTGCACAGGACTTTGTATAATAAAGTGATAAAATATTTATGCAAACACAAGAGTTGTCCCTAAGCGACATTTATGTACTCTATTTAAAAATCATTTAAATTATTCCTTTTTGTTAATATTATTTTCTCCCAAACAAAATATGAATGATGGTAGAAAATGCCTCTTGAATCATAGAAAAATATGTCATAATGGATGCATTATATGCCAGCATACAATTTATCCCACCTGCAAAACACCACTTATCATGGCAAATGGTTTTTATACTCTTTTATTAAGTGTCTTTCAGGCCAATCTGATTAATTGTGTGCGGGATAAACAAATTAAACCGCTCGAAACGAATATTAAATGCCAGTTATTCGTTTGCATTGTTTTTAACCAAATGACGGGGAACCTCTATATGAATTGCCCGTTTTCCGTTTGTTGTTTATATGTTACAAAGTTAATGACAAGCCAATATTAACCGCTGGTCGCAGGGCATCAATTATTCATAGTTGGGATTGTGTTCGGGGCTAACTTGCAGCTCACCTGGCAGTGATATTTGCATAGGCCGCGCATTTTGTGATTAACAGCAACCCAAATACAATTACGAAAGTCCTGATTGCATATGCATGTGAATGGACCGACGAGTGTGCCAGTGCAGTGTATGGCTCAATAATTACGTTGTATTTATTTGAAACTGTTTTCCGATAGTTGCCGCAGGTTAGTCCCACCATATTCCCGCCCCCGTTGCAACATAATTATTGCAATTTATTTTGCTGCTAAAATCTGCGCAAACTATTTGCACAGCCCACTCGCAGGATGCTTAGTCTGATTTTCTGCAAATTGCACGAGTGCTCCTGAATTTTTGGGGGGTCGGGTTACTTCATTATAGTTGCATCCAGTGCGCAGCCAGGCAGCGATTCTATCAATCATACGGCATTGTCGATTTCTGTATGAATATTTTGTCGAGTTTGCAGTTT